ATCTTTGGGTCGAGTTCCTTTACAGGGACATGATTGTCGGGGGTCGTCCTATATTGCCACATGGCGGTTCCGGGATGGTCTCCGGCCGGCCATTTAGCCTGGCTTGGCTATTACGGAGAAAGGGTGTTAACGGATAGATGTCGCGTCTGTACTAAAACATGGGCGCGGTAAATTCCATACCCCAGGGCACCGGGTCCTGAGCTGTTTTTGGAAGATTTTTTCTCCTGCCAAAAGAAAAAAGATAGTTAATATGCATAACTTCACTTTCTTTCCACGTTAAACTTTCAATTATAATATATTCTTTAAAACTATGTCATAAGTTTTCAAAATTCGAATTGCAACTCTAGTATAGTGAGTTTTGTCCTTTTCCATTTCATTCTATTCAAGCGAACATTTCGCTTCGTTGATAAAAAAGTGACACATCTCAAAATGAGCAACTTTTCAGTAGAGTATTTAAAAAAAATAAGATTTTAATATCTGATTTCCCTCCGATTTTGAAATTTTGCAGACATGTAGTACTTACTAAATGTAGTCGAATGCCACAAATGTAAATCGAAGGAAACCGAGAAGTTAGTTTTCGAGAAATTTGAAGAATCCCGTACTAATTCTATATAAAATTAGGTTTCGGTTAAATGTAATGTAAGACTCATCGTCAGAGCTAGATAATAAACAATTTTCATGTTTGACTAGCCTATAATCACCGACATCCTACCATATAAATTTTGATAACTTCGAAACGGCTGATGCAAAGTGGATAAAATTATAAAGGTCTCAAGAAAGACTATAAGTATATGTAATAAAAAGTAGGGGGTTTAGTTAAAAAAATTCGAGATAACTTTACTCTGACTATGGCGACGCCACCTAAGGTCAAACTGATAAAGCCAATAAATAAACCTTTTGAAACCCTACAACTTTATTTGAAACATTCTTTTCATAAAACTTATAGTTTACTAAATATTTTCTCGGAATTTTTTATACACCCTGAATGATCATATATGGTTCCATATATAATTATATACGATTATACAGGGTATCTGAGACCATCCGTACACCCCTTTTATAACGGAGGGAAGTGATTTTCATCAAAAACTCGAAAAATTCTAATAAGTAAATCGAATATGCTCTACAGTATGGTGATATTCTCAACTTTCGGTTTCAATAAAAAGAACTTGCTCTGTGATTGATTCAAATGAAATTTGACATGCCATGTTATCCATATCAAAACGCTTTAGAGCATGCATTGATGCTGAAGATCACCATTTTGAACATTTGTATTAGCAGTATGTATGTACAGCAGTATGTAAATAAGTCAATCATCGAAGTGTTTGATCAGTTTCTTGAAGTAAATTATTTTCCATCACAGTTGACCTTTAACCGTAGGTAATGTATGCGTCTTAAAACTCTATTAGAAGATAAGTAAAAAAACATATCATTCCATTTAAGAAAACGAAGTTGTCTTTCGCATCTTCTCTACACCTACAAAAAAATTATTGATCAGATTATGTTCCCCTTGAAACCAAGCAAGATTGATCAGATACAGTGATGCGATTTTGTCCATCGCGGCTTTAGGCTCCACTGCTTGTTATTTGACATTTACCTCTATCAAAACTATTTGACTGTATTTGTAATATGTTACTGTGTTCCTCCACTAATCTGCACAGTACATGTACATGTACTGCAGTAACTCTTGCTAATATGCAGTAGTTTAAAAGAAATAATTAAAAATTTTACAGGTGTGTAATTTTTTGAGTTGATAGCAAGCATGGCTAAACGAGTAAGGCGAGTAGCAAGAATATTAAAGATCTCGTGTTTGAAAACTGTAATTTTGTAACTTTTTTTCCTTTTTCGATATTTATTTCTACTATTGTACAATTAAGTAAATTATTAGATAATATTTTTGGCTAAAAAAAATTATTTTATATTTATATTTATTAAAAAAAATTTATTTTATATTTATTAAAAATATTCGCATATGTTAAATTAGCACTATGTTGCAACATTGTAAAATGACTTTTCATTTTTCTATTGACAATAGCAAATCTGTATTATTTCTAAAATTGTTAGTTTAAACATATGCGAATATTATCAATAAATATAAAATATTTTTTTGGGCAAAAAAACATTATCTGATAATTTACACTGTTAGAAACAAATTCGAAAAAAAGAAAAGAAAGTTGAATGAAGCAGGTCTCGAACACGAAATTTCTAATATCTTAGCCACTCGCCTTAGAAACGCTTGCTTCTTGGTATTTATTATCTGCTGCGTCGGCTCGGTGGAAGCGAGACGTCCATCTTCTTCCATTGGTCGAACAGCCGAGCACACACGGACACGTGACAAAAGCGCTTCTTGGTTGTGTGAAAAAGTGGAGCCCGGAGCCGCGGTGGGCAAAATCGCATCACTGGTCTGATGTATTTTGATGATATTTTTCTATCGTCAAAAGCAGGCGAGTTATTCAGGTGGTCTGTTTTAGATGCCTCCTCCTGTATATATGTATATACATAGAGTTTCCGGAAAGATCGGGACCAAACTTATATATATAGTTACAACCACGGCGGTCACTCGCGAATGCGCACGTTCAAGAAATAACAACTTAATTTAAAAAATTTAAAAACAAAAAATAAATTAATTTAAGAACACAGGTTTAATTATGAAGCGGCACTATTTACAAGCGATAGAATGGTAACACGGTGTAGAACTCTTAGAATCGGTTGCGCCCGAAAACATGTCCTCTCGACATCGAGGATCAAACTCTCTTCTGTCAACTTATTTTTATATATATATATAAATAAATTATATATATGTAAAACAGTTTAACGGGACGGAAAATATCACTTAAGCCATTTTAAAGTAGAGGCTTCACCCTTTAAAACGCATTAAGAAAAATTATTCTGCGATCCCTGGAAGCTGAGATATAGTCTCTTAAAAATCGACAAAATTTGCAGGTTTTAAAATACTCCCCTAATTTTTTTGCGTAGTGTATATATCAATATTTATCATTGTTATCCATCATTTTCTACCATTTTAATAATTCTTTGAATTGACATCTGTAAATTCATTGTTTTCCATTTTTTTTAATGAATCCAGATCTTTTGCACGTCTCTAATACAATTTTCTTAACCAGTTGAGTGGTAGACTTTTCCGAAAGATTTGTGTCAAAAGTGGTAAGAGCCAAAAGTTAAAATATCGAAAAACAGTGAAACATGGGTTCAAAGTTTTCGAAAAAGCAACTTTTCAGAATGGGTGTGGATCTCCCCCCCCCCCCGCCCTGGGAGCAGGGGGGGGGGCAGAATAGGGGTGCAAAATGTTAAATGGCACTATGGATCGAGTGAGGATCATTTGAAAGGGCGTTTCAAGACAAGAACAATAATTTTTGAAAATGTTACTGCGATCTTCCAGTCAAAAGATGAGGTGGATCAAAAAAGGGGGGGGGGTGGACTTCCGAAAAGCTATCACCTCCGATTTGGCTTATATTCAGCCTAAATACTTATTTTATCTAGTAAATAATATTCCCAAATGGATTTTTTGCACAAATACTCCCTCCGCACCCAGCCCCCCTCAAAGGTTCAAAGGTAAAACTGTTTTTCTTAATTATTTCAGAAAGTATTTATTGTACGGTAAAAGTTGTTAAACAAAAAATGAAGCTCATAAAAAGCTCTACAAATAAGGTCTTATACATATTTTACCTAACTCCAATATTTTAGTCGTTTTAACAATTAACAGTCGCCATATTAAATCCGCCATTTTGAATTTTGCAATTTTGACAACAGATTCGAATTTAGCAGCCCAAAAAATCTTAGGATATCAAGTTTTGTGCAAATCTGTTGAAAATTAGTGGAGTTATTTAGAAATGTACATATATGATACATTACCACGTTTGGCACTTTTTTTGTACATATATGATACATTACCACTCAACTGGTTAATAATCAGAATTTATTTTTTGTGAAATACAAAATGTGTTGACAATTTCAAGAAGATAATATTACTTAATTAATTAATTTATCAGTATATACCCATACAGCACAAAACATTGCAGCAACATTGCGGTAATATTGCAATGTTTCTAGAATGCTGCAACTTTGCCGCAATGTTGCTTTAATGTTCTGTGCTGTATGGAATATGTATCTAACAAAGAAGATAAATTCATCGCACCATAAGAAGTTGATATGCCACGATGCACAAAGAAAAAATCAGACCCATTGTCTGTATAAACATGAGTGAACTAAATGTATTTGTCAAAATGTTTGCTAATCTGAAAAAAATTTTGCATTGTTTATTTTTTTGTTTGATTATATTGGCAGCATACAGTAACAAATTAAATAAATATTTATTAAAAAATGTTTTTTAGAATCATTTAAAAAATTATGCTTTTTTTGAGAAGTTTGACGCACTACATTTATTATGAGTAAAATGCAAAAATTAAAAATATTATGGATATATAATTATAATGGAATGCATGGACTGGATACTTTGTATAATACAACAACATAATATAGTAAATGTCTTTAAAAAGGCGTAGAATAATAATAATAAGTAAAAAAAATTTTTATCTTTACATCTTACCGCAAGAGCTCTGCATGTTGCTCCGTAAAAGTCTTAATTTCATAATCACACTTTGGTGACATGTAATCAATGTTTTTCAACCGATAACCAAGAATTGATAGCTGGCCGCAGAGATAAAACGTCAAGGAGACAAAGACACTGTCCGCTCCAGTCGCACCGATAGTTAAGAGTGTGCTGGACGGCATTAAATATATGCAAAATAACGCGTATGAACGCATCCCCGATATTTCATAAATTGAATTTATATGAATCGGTAGCTCGTATGGAAGAGTACAATTGCCGGAACCTGTCGGAAAGATTTGTATGATAAGAAAATATTGAGATACATATAATCTTTGTGTTGAAGATTTTAATGTATGAAATCAAGATCTTAACCAAAAATAAGCAAAAACAATTCTAAAATAGAGCATTAATCAATTTTAGCGTGTATTAATTTAATTCTATTAAATTTTTAGCAAATTGTTTACATGATAAATTCTCTTGAAATTTTTGATTCTAAGAAGTTAATTTATTACAAAATAGTTAAATTACTATTTAAAGGTACTATTTAAAATCTTAAATTTCTTAATATACTCACTGGATAGAATACATTCGAGAATAGGTTTTATATAATACAATGTAGGCACAAAGAATAATGATGTCATTGAAGAGGTAGTAAATAATGTTGCCGCTACATTGTACCAAATCATTATATCCTTCTCATCTGAATTACGATAAAGCCCTTTCTTCACGTTTCCTCTCACCACTGTCAGTAAAGGCAATAATTGATCTTTTTTCCAGCGAAACATCATGTTCTTCAACACAATTAGGATACTTGGAAGAGTAAACGTGATGTTTCTCATCATTTTTTCAATATCGTACATATTTTGCACTAAGCTCACGATTAATAATAACGTACAACTTATGATATATGTAGCATAAAAAAAAAAACGAAAATCGTTGTGACTTTCCGGCCAGAGACCAGATATCGAAAGCAACAATTTGCTCCACGACAACACTTGCCTATCGTAAAACGTCTCCATCCGCAATCGCATAATTTTTTATTAAACTTAAAAAAATGTCAACGATCAGATTCACAAAAGTCGCAAAATTTGTGAAATGAATTTAATCTCTCAACGTCGCATAAGATTCGTAAATGCTAACAGAAAATATCTACGTCCACAGTGACTAATGATTCTTGTCGTCTAGACATTTCCAGAACATGCGCACATAAATGCGCAAAACTTTTCGAGGGGATGAAGAATAAATACATATATCAAAGAGCAAAGACAATTGTTTTGAAGAAATTGATGCAAGAAATCAAACTTGGTGCGTTATGATGTCGATATCACTTTTTTTATTAATCCATAATTGCACGTTTCGACAATAGTTCTTGTGTGAGGTACCGTGTGAAATTTCGCCAGCAGTGCGAACCGCTCACGCGATTCAAGTATATAAGCGCCTGCGAGTAATCTTTTGAACAATAGGTGCCGGTAAATCTGCATGTCTCATGAACTGCATTACGTTATTTTAAGCATAGGTATTTTGATATTTGATAAAAATATTACACATTTTTTCTTGATTGATACTTTAGTGACAAAAAATTTGAGTTCTTCTTTAAGACTCTATTATAATAGAGCAAAATGTAATAATGTACTTGTAAATATTATTTTTTCGCTGCTATAATATTGTAATCCTGCCACTGGATTAACATCTGGAAAATGTAAGCAAAAATATATACAATTTTTTGACAAGATATGGGAAACAAATTTTTTTCACATCCATTTATAATAAAACTATCTGTCTTCCATATATTATAGTTGTCAACCCTCTCATGTTAAAAAAATAAGTTTTTAAAAAATAAATTATAATAATACACATTTAATAAATATTCGAAATATATGGATCAGGAGATATATGGCGCAAATACATCGAGTTCTTAATATTTTAGAAAAGTTTAGGATGCATCGTGTTATTCACATCTTAGAAATTACAATCTTTGAATTTTCTTTATGTTGGGTCTACATATTTATGCGAATGCTCTTAATATAAATAAAATTCTCAAAAATAGAAAAACATTTTTCTTTGAGTAATGCATTATTGTCTTTGCTGATATGAAAACTAGTTGATGCAAACTAATTCTTTCAAAATCTCTGGATATATCATCCCTAATAGAATTGTGCAAACAAAGAAGATCAAATTAATATTTTTATATATTTTTTCTTATTCTGGTTTTTTATTCGTTTTTATATAATATCTTACTATTAGTGTGTCGTCTGCATAACACAACAGACGACAGCCCAGAGGGAAGCGCCGTGCGGAGCACTTTATCATACGCG